TGGAGGGCTGCCTGGAGCCCCGCGAGGGACCGTCCCACCCCCGGGGGGGCCCCCGAGCGCTGTTCGGAGCCACTTCGCCCCGGGAGGGCAGTTCGTGCTGGAGACATTCTCAGCTTTATTTCCCTGGGGTGAGAATAGCTCAGAAGAAGGAGCTGAGCTGGGGAGGGATGCAGGGATGAGACTGTGCTGCTACCGACAGCCCCGGGAGTGAGGTTACCCCAGTAAAGAACCAGAGAGCACATTCCAAGAGAAATAGTGGAAGGATTGCTGGGAATGTGCTTAACTGGGGAAACCCTGGGGAGAGAAAGGGAATCTGTTTGTCTGGTGAGTGAAACAGATGGGAGCTGAGCCCCCTCTGCCCTCTCAGGCGCCAAGGACCCAGTCATTCTGCTCCAGGAGGGACACGTGTCCCAGCACAATACGTCTCAGCACTTTTGCTACACCAACACGCGTGTTCCTCAATGGCACGACGTCTGGACCAGGACCCAGGTGAGTGCAGAAGGAGGAGGCAGGTGCCTCTGCCCAGCCACTCCATCTATGCCCTGCTTCTCTCCCTCTGCAGATCCGCATCACCAGCTCCCGCATGATCCGCATCACCCAGGTTGACAGCGAGGAGGAGCTGGAGAAGTTCAGCGTGTGGACCGTGGTTTTCTCCTTCCTGAGGGAGAAGCTGAATGATACCAGCATCGATGTGGACCTGTACAGCAACAAAACCTGCCTCAAGGTTGAGCTGCTGGAGCCTGGCACCACCTACTCCATCGTCCTCTTCCGACGTACGTAGGGGGAGCTGGGCCTGGAGCTCCCCAGGGGAGCCAAGGACCAGCAGAGCTGTTACTTCCGGGGGAAGGGAATTGTGGCTCTGTCCATAGGTGTAAAGTGGAGAAATTTGGGGCCCTTGGAGGCTCACCTTGGACACTGCCCCTTGCCTGTCTCTGTGACAGGTGGGAACTTGACCTGGATGCCACTGTGCCAGGACTCCTTTCCACCTGGATTCCCTCTCTTTCCAGGCTTTGATCCTAAGCTGTTCCTGATTTTCTTTCTGGGCCTGTTTTTGTTTTTCTGCGGAGACATGCTGAGCAGGTGAGTCCTTTCCTTTCCCCATGGGCTGGAGCAGTTGGGCAATGCCTGGGGGTTGCTCCTGGGGGCCTGTCCATGCACAGGTATCCCTGAGCTGTGACGCACCTGTGTGATCCCTGCAGGAGCCAACTCTTCTACTACTCAGCCGGGATCAGTTTTGGCTTGCTGGCCTCACTGCTCATCATTGTCTATGCCATGTCCAAGGTCATGCCTAAGGTGAGTGTCACCTGTCAGGGAACGAGAAGCCTTGTAGCTCTTTACACCGGTGCAGGTGTGAGTGCTGGGCTGCAGGTCTGGCTTGGCATGGAGCAGCTCAGCACCTGGGGGATGGTGTCTGTGGCTGCCCACCACCTCTCTGCTTGCTGCCAATTCTCCATCTCCTCCACAGAAAAGCTCTGTGTATTTCCTGCTGGTGGGAGGCTGGTCCTTTTCCCTGTACCTACTTCAGCTAATCTTCAAGAATCTGCAGGTGATCTGCAAGTTCTACTGGCGGTATTTGTTAGGTAGGTGAGAGCTCTGTGATTCACCAGTCTCACACCTCCTAACAGAGCTTGAATGTGCTGGTGAACAGCAGTGAGACTCCCCGTGCTTACTGCTGTCCTGGTGCTCCAGGGTGGGCTCTGGTGTCAGGTTCACCCTCAGCCCCGTCCCTGTGCTGTCCCACAGGTTACCTGCTGCTCGTGGGCTTCCTGAGCTTCGCTGTGTGCTACAGGTATGGCCCCCTGGAGAACGAGCGGAGCATCAACCTCCTCTCCTGGGCCCTGCAGCTCCTGGGGCTGCTGCTGATGTACTCAGGCATCCAGATCCACCCCCTGGCCCTGGCTCTGGTGCTCATCGCCATCTGCACCAAGAACGTGGACTACCCCTTGCAGTGGGCCTTCGCTGCTTTCCGGTGAGGCCCTGGGGCTGTGTTGGGATGAGCTGCTGGATGGAGCCTGGGTGGGGGAATTGGGGTGTTTTCCATGGGCTTTGGGGCTGGGGTGGATCACTGGGGGGTCGTGTCTCTTTTTTCCCTGGGGTTGGTGCAGGAGCAGCCCCTCAGGAGTGCGAAGTGAAGGCTGGAAGGATGTGTTCTGCTCTTCCCACTGCCAGCTCTGACTCAGCTGCCTGGGGGAGCGGGTCCTGCCCCGGGGAGCTGGACCTGCCCCAGGGGTCCTGTCCTGCCCCAGGGGTTCCACCCCATCTGGATGAGTAGTAAGTGGTGCTGCTTCACTGGCAGGAGAGCACAGAGTGCCAAGCTGGCCCCGAGCCCCCCTCGGCTGCTGACGGAGGAGGAGTACCGGCTTCAGGGCGAGGGGTGGAGACTCGCAGGGGCCTCGAGGAGCTGCGCAGCCACTGCCAGAGCCCTGATTTCTCTGCCTGGACTATGGTATCCCGTATCCAGTCTCCTAAGAGGTAACGTTCCCCAGCACTGTGCTTGGGGTGACTACCCTGTGTCCCTCTATGCTGTTGCCTCAAGCCCTGGAGGCAGGGACACAGTGACACCAGGTCTGAGGTGTGTGGGGCAGGGCGTGACAGGGGAAAAGGGAAGTAGCACCTGGTCCTAGCACCAAAACACCTCCTCGTGGCTGTGTGCGCTGAGGCCTTGCCAGGGGCACCCAACACACCTGCACAATGCTTTGCTCTGGTCTCTCACAGGTTTGCTGACTTTGTGGGTGGTGCCTCTCACGTCACCCCCAGCGAAATGTCTGTCTATGAACGTGAGTATGGCCTAGACCGGCTGGATGAGCAGCTCTTTGAGGAGGAGGAGGAGGAGGAAGAAGATGGCAATGGCTCTGTTGATGGAAACAACTCCGTTGATGGAAAGGATGCCTTTGACAGGAACTGCAGGAATTACTTCCTGCCACACAACCACCTGGATGCCCACTGAGGTCAGCTGCTCTGGGGCTGAGGGGCAGAATTACTGTTGGGCTGTGCCAAGTGCAGTTGGAATAAACCTCCTCTGATGGGGGGTCAGGGTGAGCTATGACACCCTTCTGTTCCCCCGCAGCTCCTGCCTGAGGTATGAAAGCTGTTATCAGGCATTGAGAGGACACAGGAACCCCCCTGGGCTGGGGTCACCTGGTCCTGGCTGACGGTCACCTGGGGCCATCTTGGGTTTTGGAGTGGGTGCTTGTGAGCTCCCAGAGTGTAAACTCCTGGGGCAGGGACCTCCTCCCTAGGCCTGGGTGCTGATCTGGCTCTATCCCTCTGGGCCACTGTTGTGGGCTGCAGACAGGAGCCCCTTCCCCACTGCTGGGCCACCAGGTGCCCTGGCTCTGCCTGCCAGGGTGGGGACAGACCTTCCACTCCACCTCCTGTACAGGTACCTTTAAGGGTGACACAAGCAAGATGAACTTTGGACCTGTCCTGACGGTACCTGCGTGCTCAGCACCTGCCTGGAGCCAGGAGCTGCCGGCAACCTGCTCCTCCTCCTGTTAGCAACGATGCTAGAGAGCTCCGTTGAGGCTGATCAGGCCACACCTCTGCATTGGCTTCAGTCCCACATGGATACCAAAAGCCTCAGCACCTCCCTGACAGAGCTGCAGAGCTCAGAGAAGGCAGCCTCGGGGTCTGCTGGCTGCCCTCAAAACTTTTGCCCTGTTTCCCAGCTGCAGTGCTGGGATGGAGGCTGTGCTCAGTCCCTTCTCCCCACGCCAGAGCTGAGGATGAGTTATGGATGTGCTTCCTCCCTGCCTTGCTGCCCTTCACCTGCTGTTACTCCTCTGGGGCAAACTCTGCCCCTGGTGTCCCTCTCCCCACACTGGTCAGAGCCTCTGCCAAAGGTCAAAGCTGAAGGCGATGCCCCAGTTTATGCAACTTCCTAAGCAATAACACTGCCTTTAGCCCTCTGGTGGCTCAACTGCCCTGGGGGGCCCCCCAGCCCAGCCCCTACCTCGCCTGTGCCACTGCCAGAGCTTCTGCCATTGGTTTGTTCCTGTCCCAGGTTTGTCCCTGTCCCCTGCTGCTTTCTCCTCCCTGCTCAGGTGTGGGCAACTGCTGTTACTGCATTCCCCACCCTCAGCGTAGTGAATGACTGATTATATTTTTAATAAAGATGTATTTTGTAGGTCATGGGCCTCATTTGTCTGTCCCCTAGTGACCCCAGGGCTCATCTACCCTAGGGAGCTCACCCTGCTGAGGATGCTGTGTGGTGCTTAGGGACACAGAACAGCCCCGGGGTGACAGATCTCTCGTAGCAGCAGCCATTGTGGCCTCAGGCCACTC